TTTGTCTTTTTGAGACAGGGTCTCCCAGTAGCCCCAGCTGTCCTGGAACTCACAGAGATCCGCCTGCCTCTGTCTCCCAAGTGCTGAGATTAAAGGCGTGTACCACCAAGCCTGGCCTATAATTTACATTTTTAAAAGCATCAGTCATGGGCTGGTGAGATGGTTTCATAGGTAAAGGCACTTGCTGCCAAGCCTGATCACCTCAGTTTGATCCCTGGGAATCACATAATGGAAGGAGAGAAGCAACTCCCACAGGCTGTCCTTTGACCTCAATATGTGTGTTCCCCCATACACAGATAAAATAAATGTGATTTTTAAAAAGTATTAGCCATTTTTGATTCACTAGTCTTAAAATAATATGATAAATGGAAGAAAACATTCAGGTATTTTCTATCTTTTCTGTAAGAACTACACAGAAGATTTTTGAAAGAAAATATTCATAATAAAAGTATCCTCAATAATATATGAGAGAGATTTCAACAGAATTAGATTATATGCACTTATGACCTGTGTGGTAGTTTGAATGAGAATGTCCCCCATAGGCTCCAAGTAGTTGGACATTTTGTCCCTAGTTGGTGGTGCTGTTTTGGGAAGTCTTGGAAGGTGTGACCATGCTGGAGGAAGCATGTCACTAGGAGTGGCTTAGAGAGTTCTTAAGCCTTGCCAGATCTCTAGTCACTCTCCGCTTCCTGTGCCTGCTTGAAGATGTGAGCACTAAGCTTCTGTTCCTACTCCAGCCACCTCGGCTGCCATGATAGATTCTTGCCCCTTTGGAACAATAAGTTAAATAAACTCTTCCTTTTATAAGTTCCATGGATCATGGTATTTCTAGCACAGCAACAGAAAAATAACTAATACAACCTATAAACTAATAATTAATAAGGCAACAAAACTTAATAACTGTTAATATCACAAAAGATACAACCAAACTCTATGTGTCTCTGGATAAAATTAGACTTATATTGTTATGCACACTACCAAAACAATTATATTTGAATATGAGTAAGCTTAAAAACTCAATTATCAACTTCCAGAAATTGAGAGCATCATTTCATCAATGATGAAAATCTGTTTTCATCACTTCTCTTCAACAATATGCTGAAGGTCTAAGTGTTGCACTAAAGCAACATACAGAAATAAAAAAAATGTGAGTGGCATATACCTGCAATCTGGCATTTAAGGGAATGGAGGAAGGAGAACCATGAGTTCAAAGATAGTTCAGTACATAGTAAGTTCAAGGGCAGTCTGACCACATGAGACTATGTTTCAAAAAACCAAATGAAAATGAAACAGAAAAAAAAATGCATAAAGATCAGAAAGGAAGGGGCTGGAGAGATGGCTCAGCAGTTAAGAACACTTGGGCTCACAGATGACCAGGGTTTGGTTCCCAGCATCTGCATCAGGTGGCTCAAAATCACCTGTTAATTCCAGTTCCAGGGGATCTGATGGGCCCTCTGACCTCCAGAGTGCGCCCCCCCACGGTGCACAAAACCTTACACAGGCATATATACACATAATCAATAA